TTAAGATAATACATTGTAAGATCAAGTATGGGAGCGACCCAAGACAACACAAATGAAGGCACACTTGGAGTCGATATAAAGATCGAACTCAAGGGAGGGTTGATCCGTTGAATGGTGGGTGCAAGGGTCACCATCAACTCAATGCAAAATAAGGAGCAGAGCAACTTAGGTGTAACTTGGTGCACTACTTAGGCAAAACTAGCTAAGTCCATGACAAATGGTATTAGAGCGAGAAAAGCACTCATAGAAACACTTGGCATGCAAACGTGGGGAATCTAGCGAGGCTGCATTGAGGGCAACTAGCATGCGCGACTGTTTAGGAGAAAGCAGATATGAAGATGTAGAGAAAAAGAGTCGCTTAAAGGAGCAAGCATTTGAGATTAACATTCGAAGGAATGGCTAACCCTTCGTGCAAGAGGCACCATGAGGACAAGTAAGCTGAAAAGAATGCGTAGCACACAAAGGTTATGATGGCTGAGTTTGAGCTACGGCTCAATCTTGGCAACCATACTTGATAGAGCTCAAGGCAAACGAGGTGCTTGATAAAGGATGAGACCATGTAATGTGGAATGGGTTGTTTAGCGACCGAAAGAGTTGTGCAAAGCTCACAGAGGTGAGGGGAATTGCTAACTCGAGAAATTCGATACTCATGCAAAGGCTTATATATGAACGATGGAGTATTTGTGGCCATCCCAAGGCGACCCCACTACAACCGAAACTCGACGCCATGGAGCATTGAAACTTTCTCTTCAACATGAGAAGGATACTCCATAGGAGGCTAAAGTGTGCCATGAGTTCAGCATGTTGCTAGGCCTTGAGGGGTACAACGGGGATTGTATTGACGTAGAGTCACAATTTAGCAAGTGCATTTGCGGGAGGCAGAACAATGCATAGTTTGTTTAGCAAGACAGAGTAGTCTAAGGAGATGGTGGTCTCCGAAACTTTTAGAGAAAAGGAAGCGAAAAGAGAAGTTGCTCGAACAAGACAGATATCTAGGAGGCATAAGTCTCGACTCTCTAGAGAGAGAACCATATGCAACGAACCACACATGTTGAGGAGGAGTACCTCAAAACAACTTCACAAAGCTCAATGGACCAAGCGAGCCGCGAGGAGTCGTCGCATTATCTCGCTTGAGATAATGCATTGGGAGACTGCATTGCGAGATCAAGTGGGGGAACGACCCAAGGCAACACAAATGAAAGCACACTTGGAGTCAATATGAAGATCGGACTCAAGAGAGGGCTAATCCATGGAATGGTGAGCGCAAGGGTCACCATCAACTTAATGCAAAACGAGGAGCAGATCAATTTGGGTGTAACTTGGCGAAGTACCCGAGTCGCATTAAGGGAGCCGACATAGAAGATGAAACATAGAGCGGAAGCACAGAGCTTTATTTGGACAGAGGTCAAGGACATGAACTCTTATAAAGGCAAGAGTGGGGTCATGTTGTTCTGTGGATCCTTTATTCTGATGGAGCAAACTCATCTTGCATTGTGCTAAATATGAAGGGAGCTTCTGGGTACATGCACCTTACCTCAAAGAAGCATTTGATAGAGGAACTAAGGCAACTCAAATTGTAGAGACGAAGTTGGGTTCAAAATATCTTAGCACGGGACAAGAGGAGACGCGAAGGTGGGTACTCTTGAAGAATATTCCATAGTGCTGTCATTCAAGTTGTCATGAAGGGAGCAGTGCACAGCGAAGATTATGCTAGTAGGGGCAAAGCCCCAGGATCCAGATAATGATGCACCAATTTCAGTGAAGTCGATGGACTTCGGGAGCTACTAGGCAACGGACTGTCCTAGAGTGGTGCTTTGTCTAGGTGTGACTTGAGAGCGGGTGAACGAATGTCGATTGCCAAAAGGAGCCAACACAATCGAAAGTAGAAGAGGCCCTATGATGTGTTAACAAAGGCCACACATGGAGGGATTACAATTCAAGTTCATCCCATAAGGATCAGAATGTAATAGAAATGTCAGCAGGAGGCGACGCGGTGCAGCGAATCGTGGTAGAATGGTTCATGACAATACGATACACACAAATATAGTCATACAGAGGTATGATCAGGAGCTACTAAGAGCTCCACTTTAGTGAATAACACGATGGCAAGAAGGACTATGGATTTAAGGAGTGAATGTCATGGTACCGCAGAGGCGGGTCTTCCATGCATGTATCGAATTTTGCATCAGATGAAAGCCTTGGTCATCAACATATGAGGGTTGTGTACTACCAAGGGAAAAGTTCGAATGCAAGTACTAGTGAGTCCCATGAGAGGGACTTGATCATGTAGAGGTATGATTGGAGCAGTTGGAGAGTTGGACTGCTCCAAAGCTCATATTCGCTTAAGGGAGCCCGACAAATCAGAGGACAAGGCCGAGTAAGCAAATGTTGCTACCAAGAAAGCTAAGGAAAACATAATCAGTGTGAACCCTACAACATGATGGTAGAGATTATGCATGAGAGTTGCAATCTGTCTTTCCATCGACCTAGGGGAATTACTTGAAGAACATAGAAGTGTTGAAGTATGGGGTCGAAAGGGGCGAGGAAGCGATGACAAGACCAGAAGAATTTAGCTACCCAAAACCAAGCATCGGTTATAATGGATATGGACTCGGAGAAGTGTCACAGAGGTAGATCTACCGATTATGAATAAAGAGATGCAGATGCGAGACAACGGATAGTATGGTCATGAGCATGACAGCACTAGAGTACTATAGAAGTGGGACTTCCATGAAGTCATCGATCCCTTGCTCTCATGTGGGGAGAGCACTTGGTCGTAAAAGGAGCCAATGAGGTAGATAATGCAGAAGCAAACTCCAAGTACCGAGACAAGGTTGAAGGGCAGAGGCCAGAGAACTTCATAAGACCAGTGTCAACGAGCTTCTCATCAAGATAGCCGAAAGTGAAGGATTTCATGTCGATGCAAGAGTACATGACCAAGGAATGAAGCATACAATATGTGGTGCGGTACCTTTGCTATTTAGTAGAGTAGACGGTAGGGTTGATGGAGAAGATGGTACAATCTCAAATGCGACCAAAACTATTAGAGACTTACTCAAGTTAGGGTAAAATTTTTTTGCATTCCAGATGTTCGATGGCATAGAGTATAACTCTTGAGGAGGCAAGCAAAGCTAAGTAATCTTTGCCTTCTCAATTCTTAAGAGAATGGGCGAAACTGAGTACCCTAATTCTCTTCTCTATCCAGCAGAGGAGCTCTGCACATGTTCAAAGATTCTTCAAAAAACCAAATGGAAGATAACAGTTATCAAATTCTTACCAATAGTGATCAGTGCTACTGAAAGTAGATTATCCGCTTCATTTCCCAACAAATGTCAATAAAAAATGGAAGTAATACGAACCTACTTGGAAGTCACAACTAAGTGAAAAAAGAATCGATGGGCAAATTTTATAGAGAAAGGACCCAAAAACTTCAGAAGTTTACGAAGCGGTATTCATTAAAGTTCTAATAAGTATCCACCCAGTTCAAGCAGCAGACATTAAAGAGACTGGCGCATAATAAGGATGGTCTTTTCTTTCATCTAAAAGATTCGCAGGAACCAACATGGATCAACGTAACTCTGCCAACCCCACACTAAAGTCAGAGTCATTTGCAAGTTGAAACAACATGACGGATCAAAAGTTTGACTACTCAACAACAATAACGAAGAGAGTTGGCAAATGCTTCAACGAGAACATCGAAGGAATAATGTCAGGGACAAAATTGTAAACAATGTGTTTAATGTAACGCTCGTATATGTCCATATCTTTTGGTTTGTTCATGCTTTGCACAGCATGTAGAGGGATAGTCGAAGGCTTAATAATCTTAATTTAGTTAGGTTTGGTGGTCATTTTAACTTATAAATAAAGTGTCATGCGAACACTTGTAGGATATCTCGGTCTATAGTAGACCATTTTAGATCCTTTGTTGTGTGACTGTTCAGAGCTTGTGAAGTCTATTTGTAATTTGTATTGATTATAAAGTATTTTCTGAAATGTTTGCTTATGAATTCTGTGCTTTTTCTAACATATTTTCTCATTTGTAGGTCCTAAGAGACCATAAAAGGTTTCGGGGAGGTTGACCTTTGCGGACGGACACTTAAGAATGCCGTATGACTTAAGCAAAATCAACTAAGCCTATGACAATATATTATAAACATAAGCTAATTTCTAATTCTCATTAATTTCTACTGTCATCCCGAAGAAAAAGAAAAACTATTGTAACGACACTATCCTAACTTAGCACAAAGAATAGATCCAAAAGCACAAAGCTTTTGACTTTGAAGTTCTAAAATTAAAAACTAGAAAGAAAAGAAAATTAGCAAATATCCAACATCAATCCTTACGATATATATATATATATATATATATATATATATATATATATATATATATATATATATATATATATATATATATA